GAATGTCTAGTACTGACACTAATTTTTTGGACAAACAAGATTTTTGTGTCAGACACTGTCTGTGTCCAGCTACATATTTTCAGGCTTGCTGTATGACATTTTGAAATTCTAAAAACACTCCCCAAAAGTTTTAAAATTCTCTTTAATATCACTGCCAAAAACAAAAATGGCAAAAATCACAAGGAGGAAAACAGCTGATGGCATTCTTTAGAGGATCTTTATTAACGGATTTAGAGAGAATAAAATTTTATTAGTCATTACTATTATTTGTGCTCAACGTCCTTTCAAAAAATACAGCTGATGTACAATTTAATGTTAAGTGTAATAAGAGAGCCAGTTTCAAGCCAATCAAACACAAGGACAACAAATATACAGAAACCAATCAACTGATCTCTAGGCATGGTTCATATGGACTTTCCACATAGGATTACACTTGTACTTTCTTTATTTTTGTTCATTAAACACAATGGCTAGTAAAAAATCACAACAGTCTCTGGTCTCATGAGACATAGGAGCAGAATTCACAATGGTCAAAGGAATGGTATCTTCCCATCTTGTTCTCCTTCTTTCATGAACTGTATGTCTTCTAGTATCCCATTCAGTCTTGCTAATGTCGCCTGCACATCTTGTTTTCTTGGTATTATGGCTAGAACATCATCCACATATCTCAACCACATCATGTATCTGCCCATGATGTTTTTGTAAAGTTCTTCTTTCAAAGTCTCCATTACTAGGGAAGCTAGGGCAGCACTTAATGGTGAGCTCATGGCCAGCCCATTATGTTGGTGGGCCTTGGTTAAACTGTTTGATGCACTGCCTATGCCTGATAATATGGGCCGCATGGGGATCCCTGTTTTGTGTACCTTTGGCATCCTCCTCATGACTGGAGTGCAAGGGTTTTCTTCTAAGAGGTGCATTAATCTCCTTCCATTCTCTGTTTTCCCTAGGATCTTTCTTGCTTTCTGCTTGAATATTTCAGCTTCCTTGTTCACAAAATCTTTCTACTTCTTTATGTATGTGGAGTCATCAGCCAACAGTGTGTCCATTTTCTCAACATATTCACCCCTGTCCATGATGACTACTCCTCCACCTTTATCTGCTTGGGATATGAAGATATTGCCATCATTACTCAGAATTTTTAGGGCTGTGATATATATCTCTTTGGAATGGTATGGTGATGGGAATCTGCCATTGCCTTGTAGCAGGTTACTAGTACTTGTTTGAACCCTTTCAGTGATACAATAGGTGAAAGAAAATTATCTCCCCTTCCCAAGGGAAGATAACACCAAACACATATCATTGTGTATACGATTCTGCCTGTTTGAGTTCATGGAACAGTAGTACATGCAGAGGAAGCAGAACACCTGTCTAGTTAAAAGGAAACTAAAATTTTCAGCAAAAGGATGGAAAAGCAACAAAGGAAAGCTATAGAAGGTGCTTACATCTTATTAGAAAAGAACATAAATACCACAGTGGGAGACTAGAATTGGGCAGAAACAGCAGTGAGCCTAGTGACATGAGAGCAGAATGATGATTGGTCTAGGTGGTGGTCGACACACGATGATAATGAACCAATCAAGGAGTGGCATGGCACAGCAACCAGAACCCTAATCTGTCTTAATGCTTAACATTAACAATATTAACTTTTATGCCAAAGGCTCAGTCAATTCAACCAAGTTCACGAACCCAAAGTGACTGTCATAGTTTCCATACTATAACTTTTAAAGCTTTGTGTATCTTCACAAAATTTCACAAGCTTTAAATAAACATTACAAGTCTTTTGTAGATAAAAAATCAGATTGTTTAACTAAGTATTTGTACTAAAAATTTCTCTGTGAATATATGGAGGCAAAATGTTGACTGCTCCATGTGCAAAGTGATTTTCATGTTAAGATTAGAAACACTTTTCTGTGTCTGAAAATTATCACATAATCTCTAAAATCTCCTAAATAAATATCAAACTTTTTTTCAGTAAAACTTTATATTTTATCTGTTGTTTTCTCAACTGTAACTCCATGCTCAATATGACTAACCTTGTAACCACCATAAAATAATACAAAATAAATCTAAACTACCTTTATTTCTTTCAAGAATAACTGCAAATTCTAACAGGAAACTAAATTTGTTTGTCCTAAACAGCTAAAACCTCATAATAGTATACACCTGTTTCTACTTGAATTATATTTTTTTATTGCCCTTTGAACTGTATCTAACTAATAATCCACCACACAAGTTGTAAATCACTAGCAAATATGTAGCTCTTTTACCTTATTGAATTATGTAATGCACAAGCTGCTTTGGAGCATACCTTGTGAATAATTTTTATCATTATCTTTGTATTATCTAACCTAATTTAACCTTACAATTTCTAATTTTTACGTTTGAGTTACTTTTTTAATGAGAAATAAAGAATACACATGAAAAAACGAGAAATATAGTACATACCCGTGTCTTGTTTCTTTGCTGTTGACTGTTAATGAAACTTAAGCCTACTTTTTATATTACACTAAATAATTTTTATTGAATTAAATAATGCACATGAAAAAATGAGAAATATAGTACATATCTGGGTCTTGTTTTTTGCTGTTGACTGTCAATGAAACTTAGGCTTACTTTTTTTATACCAATGGTACTACTACACTAAATAATTCTGGTTTTCTAATTATGTGATAAGAACCATTAATAATTCAGCTAAGCTCGTCAATATGATTCCTGTGAGAATACAATTGAAACTGAATAATGTTATGATACATACAGAAAAAAACATAATATGTTATTTGATAGATTTGGGAATAAAGCTTGAACTGAAAGCAAAATTGACAATTCTCTGTACAGGAAACAATGTAGTATAATACTTCATTTGATAAATGAAAATGTTGGCTTTCTATAATATCGTATAACATATCAAAGAGAAGTATTGGTAATTTGTCAAAGATGGGGTGTGAAAGGTGGGTCTGATTTTCTAGCTTATAGCTTTGTAGAAAAATAAGATTGAAGGCTATAAAAACTATGCTTTACCTGAATAATATCTACATTACAATGAGCAATTTACCTTAAATTCCATACTTCTATGAGAAGTGGTAAATAAATTAGAGAAGAGGTAAGACCTAGAGAACAAATACCACATTTTTCATATTAAGGGAGATTGAGGATTTTTTAAATATATTTCTTTAACAAATTAAGAATTTAAAACTTGTATAATATTAAAATTTGATTTGTTAACTATGTTTTGATGCCAAGTTTATTCATATACAATTAATGTAACTCTAAAAAGTAATGATATGCACACTTTGACCTGTCCATGGCAAGAGTGTTAAAGTAATCAGCAGATTTTATATAACCTCAACTATTCCTATGCATTGAAAACTATCATTTAATATTGTTACTTTCATCATACATGTCATAACATCATGAGCATGTTCAAATGGATACATTTCATTTATTTGTGTGTGTGTGCATTTTATAGGGATTAAATGAATTACAAAACAAACTTGTTATAGTGCAAATACCTACTTCAAAAATGCAAAACTAAGAAAACTGGAATCAAACATCATATAAGACGTGAAAGTTAGTGTTCAAGAAGCATTTGCATTGAAATAATTCCTAAAAGCACATTTCATACAACTATAATTGCACGAGTCTATGCAAAGATATTCCAAAATGTATACAATTATAATTGCACGAGTCTATGCAAAGATATTCCAAAATGTATACAATTATAATTGCATGAGTCTATGCAAAGATATTCCGAAATGTAACTCAAAGATCACACATAAGGAACCAAGCAGATAACAAAGCCCACTAGCTTTGAAATCTCATTCCATTTTTTTTTCCTAGAAAAGGTTGCTATCCTCTTCATCCAGTCCCAGTATTGATAGATTGCTACAATGTTGCAAAGTAAGATATCATTTTGTGAACATGTCATGAACCAATCCAATACTTCAATTACTTTTTTTTTCTGATTTAAATAAAACTAAACCTTTCTGACATTATTTCCTCTGTGCTCTTGGTTACAAACTGAAATTGATTTTCATGAAAAATGACACCTCATCGACAAAAATATTTTCTCCTTAAAGTTACACTGACCTGAAAGTAAAATCTAGACATTATAGTTTGGTACATGTAGCCATTAAAAATGGAACCTTCAATTTACCATTACTTCTTATTTTAGAACATGCATTATGAACACATTGCATTGCCTATGCTTGCTTTTAAATCAGTAGGGAAAACAATCCATGTTATCTGCAAAAACGTACCACTTCACAGTGAATATGTTGTAATGTATTATTTTAATAGGCCAATAACATTACTGATATCTTATAATTCAGCAATTAATAATCATGGCAAGAGATCATAGATTGACATTTAACAGTCTAAGAAATAAAATTTTAAGTTGAGTATAAAGAAAAATAATTATGAAACTCAGATATATCAGTTTTCTTTCATAAAATTACTAAGTTATCAGAAACATAATCACATTTCATTTATAATAACTTAACAAAATGAAATAAGTAGGCCTTCAGTCATTACTAAAGCTGTACTTTCTTGTTTTGTTTAAAATGAAAGGCTGCCCGAGTTCTTGTATTACAAATATAAAACCTGAAGGATTTGTTTTGAGGAACTGTTTTATGCATTAATATTCAGCTTTATCAACAAATGAATAAAACAGAACATGCTGTTTTATGACCTATTTATTTGAAATCTTAATGTTCTTGTGTATCTTCCAGTTAGATATAAAGTCCATGCTTTCATAAAACAAAATTACACAAGAACTGTGAACTGTTAAGACAAAAACTTTATTTAGAACGTTAAACACATTTAATGACTAGGCTATTGTGAAAGCTGTCAATGTAATCTCTAACATAAAAGAATGTAATAAGCTATTAATCACATCTCCAGGTATCTAATGAAAACATTAATTTCAAGACTTAGAGAAATTCTGTCAAATTGCCTCCAAGATTAATATTTGACAACCATATAATATGTAACTCTACTACATCTTACTTCTTCTTGGCTTTTGGAGAAGTAGACTGAAATACACTTGATGCTGACATGAGATTTTCAATGTACTGTCCTAGTACTTGGTTTTCAGACTTCAGCTTCAAGTTTTCTTCCTTCACACTATCAACCCTCTGAGAAAGATCTAACAAAAAATAATTCTTAGTTGAACTACCAGACAAAAATAAAATAATTCTAAAATGTTCACCGGAATTGAATTATCAAGTTATAATAACAAATTCTGTTCTATTTACATTACATTAGCTACACAAATACAACAGAAATAAATATGAGAATGAAATAATGTAATACAAATGAATGTAGTAAATAAAAAATTAAGGCAAAAATCAAAAATAATAAAAACAGAAAATAGACACATACATATATATTCATAAATGTTTAGAAATCAGAGCTGGGCACTTAATTGATTACATTGAATAGTGTCCCATAAACTAATCATACAGTTTTTGATTTTTTCCAACAACCAATTAATTGAAATTGCAATTACATTAATTGTCACAAAAATAAGCAAGTAATCAAAATTAGGGTTTTCAACTATTCTGAATACTGCATTATGTTTGCTAATTATTAAACTTAAAGCTACTTAAGGTTACAACACCTCGTCATGATATGAAAGTTGATTGTAACTAAAGCTTTTTTGGGAATGGTACTAAGTACCATATGTAATATATCATACATATTTTGAAAGAGCATTAAATGCTTTAAAATAAGATAATTTTTTACACCCATAATTAAAACTCAAATGCCCTGGGGGTCTCCTGAAGTTTGTAAAAATCATAATTGTACTTCAGTTGTCATTTTCAAATGGCTTGACATACAGTCATAATATTTGGCATACAGCTTCTCTATGAATAAATCTACGACTCCAGTATAATAGGTCTAATACATATGCAAATTTTTATATTTCATTTTGCAAAATATCTCATTTTGAAAATCATAATTTTTGAAATACAACGCTTTATTGGCAAATGAACTGATAATAGTCTGTCATTATAGATAAATAACTGTCAATAACCTTTATAAATTTAATAGAAATCATGGAAGTAATAATACCTATCATATTATGAACTGTTAACATTGTAAATGTAATTTTACAAATTGTTACTGTATGGCAGATATTACAAGATCATCTTGTTATCGTAATTATTTAACTTTTTTGCTTTACAACTCAATAGATGGCATGGAAGTGTTTTGTTAGTAAATACCAATAAACCATATCAATAACATAAAATGTTTGTTTCAGGAAACTTCTTATCTATCAAATTGACATAGAAAGAACCAGTTTTCTTAAAATTTTCTCTATCTTTCAACCTATTAAACACAGAGGACCTTAATGTTTCATTACTACTAAATTTTTTCAAGTAGCAAAAAAAAATATATTGTAACCACTAATAAAAAATGAAGTCATTATAAAACAATGAATAGTGCAGTTATTATAGAAATTATGTTTTGTAGTGCACCTAAAATAACAGTATCAATGAACACACAGCTAATTTGTTGTCTGTATATATGTTTATGTTGTCATTGTGTTTCAATGTTTTACTCGTTTCAGCTATACTACAATAAAATTTCCTAAAAAATTTGGAACTTATTGTGAACTAGTTGTCTATTGGTATCTAAGATTATAATAGGTCATACTATACAAAATAAATTATTAAATTTCCAGTTTTAGGTGAGAAAGTGAACTGAATATGTTATATATATGTAAACTAGTAACCATAGAACATACAGTTCATCAAAATGTTACAGCAAAAACAAAATGTTATTATGTGTTTACAATTTCATATATATATGTGTGTGTGCTATCTTCAATACTTCATTTTTAATTGTATGTTGAATTAATTAGGACATTGAAAACTACTAATTTTCTAAAACATTTGGCATTTCTACCCTATAAATTGGTATGATAACATAACTGTCAAATTGAATCTTTTAGTGTAGTTGGGAAATAAACTACTACTCCCCACAAGACAGGGCCTCATCCTGTCACTCCAAACCTTTTGTTCTCATGATGCAGTCTAAGTACACTACACAGTGAACAAGATGTTTTAGTTTAGCTCAAGTACAAGTGTGGTCAACATCTTGAAGCGATGACACTGACAAAAAAGAAAGTAGGAATTCGGCCAAGTAAAGCTAAAAAGCATAAGTGTGGCATTTATATGAAAGAAAAATTGAAAGCAGCCAAGAAAGCTGAGAATAAAAGTAATCTAACTGTTAAATTGAATCTTTTAGTGTAGTTGGGAAATAAACTACTACTCCCCACAAGACAGGGCCTCATCCTGTCACTGCCGACCTTTTGTTCTCATGGTGCAGTCTAAGTACCCTACATACTGGGGGTCATATAACAAGACAATGAACAAGATGTTTTAGTTTAGCTCAAGTACATGTGTGGTCAACATCTTGAAGCAATGGCACTGGCAAAAAGAGAAAGTAGGAATTCGGCCAAGTAAAGCTAAAAAGCGCAAGTGTGACATTTATATAAAAGAAAAATTGAAAGCAGCCAAGAAAGCTGAAAATAAAAGTAATCTAAGTGTAGATTACATACAACCATCATGGTAAGTTAACAAATTTCTTTTCTTGTTTTGTAATAGTTGTTTTCTTTGTTCAAAGCTACAATATAGACTATTTGCACACTGTCTACCTCATGGAATCGAAATCCTTATTTTCGTGTTGTAAGTCCGTAAACATACAAATATCCTATCAGAGTTAAGTGTTTTGTATAGAATGATATTCATTATTTATAATATTACAATTGTTTGTTTTTTTTGTTTTTTTATATTAAGTTGGAGTTGATTCTGATGTTTGTTTTTTAGGTATACAAAGCAAGTACATGCAGCTAGCTACACTTTTCATCAGAATCCAGAGAAGGTTTGAAATCAACATTCAAATTCACTTCTGACTTTTGCTTTGAAATTGTTAAAATAGTATCAGAGCTAGTATAACAAGTGGATGTAGAAGACATTTATAAATTAGACATAAACAATTCAGCAGTTTGAGGTGTTGACAATTGTGGTGGAGGGCATGCTCAATTGAATGGAAGTTTCTCGATGTTAGGAGTTCCGATCATGTCTCTGAATATGTTCATCAGACATGAGAGAAAATTGGAAAAGTATTTTAAATAATATTTATGTATGATATAATATATAGAAAGTCATTAACATGGTTGCTAGTACAGATGGACCCTACTTTATGAAAGTGTTATGTTCCTGAAAAATCTTTCCTAAAGTGAGATAGATTTTCCTATTGACTACCATTATACAATTGGAGATATGTTCTCAACAAAAAAAATAAAAAAAATTAACCAAACATAAACTTACAGTGAACATATTTTAATGATAATTTTGGGGTAAGCAAAGAATATAAGCCATTGATAAATTTATTAAATCCAAATTAAGTACTGTATATACAAGGAAGTGGAGTGATTGACACATAAGGTGATGGTGTGGGTAGAGGGTGTTGAATGATGTTACTGGCTGGTAGGAGAAGGGGCAGAATGAAGTTTTGCTTCACAGCGATCATCGTGGGCTGCAGGAGGACTGGCAAGAAGATCCATTGGAGTAGGTGAGTCAACATCTTCCTCATCACTTGGTAGTGTTGATGGTAGTTCATCAATAAAGACAGGGGCAGAAGGATCTGCTTCCCAGTCATCCTTTTGGGCAGGAGAAACCACTGGAGCAGAAGTGTCAAGATCATTGTCTTGGCTAGGAAGAGATGCAGCAGAAATCAGTTGTGCAGAATGATTTTAATGGTGTTTTCTTAGCACGCTTACTTTATTCTTTATGAATTTCTTCATAGAAGGTTAGGGCACTTTCAATATTGCATTCAAATTTAAGGCTTCAGTCACAATTTGGTCATTTTTAGTCAGTATTTCCACAGCTTGATCAAGTAGGAATGAATCTGACAGCATTTTCCATGTTAAAAACAATTGTGGCTCTGGTTTTTTCATCATCTCTCTCTTCATTAGCAGCCCTTTCTTAGTCAATATTCATAAGTTCTTCAGTGGTCATTTGTTCGTGGTGTGATGCCAGTAAGTCATTGATGTCTTGCTCTTCAATTTCATTAAACCCAACCTGATGTGCTAATGACACAAATTCTTTGACAACAGGTTCTGTATTAGGAACTCCTTGAAAATCGTGCAAACATTCTGACCATAGTTTTCTCCAAACTCCATTCATATGTGAGGTGGTAACTTCCTTTCAAGACTCTGCTATGTTGTCTATGGCTTCTTGTTGTTGGACAATTTCCAGAAATCTCTGATCGAGGTGTTTTTGTTGCTGTCCACTGCCTTGATCATTTGTCTGAAGATGTGTCATAAGTAATATGCTTTAAAAGTAGCTATGAACCCTTGAACCATGGGTTGGATCAAAGAAGTGGTGTTTGGGGCAAGAAACTCCACATGAATGTTTGTTGATACGTCAGTTAGGTTGATAGGGTGGCTTGGTGCATTGTCGACAAGAAGCAGTGATTTATGAGAAAGATTTTCTTCATAGAAAAATATCTCTCCACTGCAGGGCAGAAAAATTTGGTAAACCAATTCTCAAAAATTGTTCTTGTTGTCCAAGCCGTCTTGTTGGACCTCCAAATGACGGGCAGATTGGTCTTGATGTACCCCTTAAATGCCCGTGGATTCTCAGAATGTTGAATCAAAAGGGGTTTTCAACTTGAAATCACCCTCATCACTGCCTCCCAGAATTAGGGAAACTCCTTCTTTAAAAGCTTTGTGACCTGGTGATGACTTCTCTTTCCTTGACAAGACTGACCTGCCTGGCATCAAGTCTCAGTCTCATCAAGGTTGAAAACTTGAAGAGTCATATATCCCCCTTGTTCAATAATACCTTTTAGAACTGGTAGGAATGCTGATGCTGCCTCACCGATCTTTAGGCTATGTAGATTGTGCCTTTTTTAAACATGTCGAGCCAGCCTTTGCTTGCAGTAAAAGTTGTAGTTTCTTTAGTACTTGTACTAGGTCCTAGTTCTGTCTGGTTTTTTTTTCTGCAGGTCTTCAAATAATGAAAGTGACTTTTCCTGCAAACCCATGTTAGCCATCAGTGAATCCTTCCACTGTTTCATGCCATCCACCCATGGAGTTAACAAAAATTCCATTTCTTCCATTATGTTAGGACG